GCATTAGAAAGTTTGCTGAGCTAATGCGCAGCAGTCTTTTGACTGTTTGAGTCGAAACCTTATGGCCTGGGCGACATCGTTTCAGCTCGTGCCTATCTGTTAGCAAAATATCTCGTGAATCAGAGGATGGATTTTGATGCAACTTGTAGAAAGTAATCACTCTGTATTCATGTACAAATCATTAACTTTTGGAGTCAACGYCATTCGAGATGGCTGCTACAGCTAAACAAAGTCAGTAAACAAAAATTAGCCGTAAGTCAGCAAATACAGCAGGCAATGAGCTAAAACTGAGCATTAACTGATTGCATAAGATTTAAAACTTTTCCATTAGTAAAATTTGCCCGTTTGTTAGCAACAAATCTCATTAATCATTATTTGTATTTTGATGAAACTGTTGGTTAGTATTCAGTGACTGTACTGATTTAACATTTAGTGTTGTCTAAATTCAAGGTGGCCATCACAGCTAATCAGCCTTAGCAAACAGAAATGAATTTTACAAATAGTGGGATTAAATATTGTGTGGTTGCTGAAAGTAATTCTGAGTGCTATTGCGGAGCAAGTTTATAAAATTGGATTTTACTATTAAAGTCAACCCTGTCTGTTAACAAAATATTTCATGAACCAGGGAACATATTTTAGCAAAACTCTCAGAAAGTAGTGATACGGCCACTACATGTCAACACAAGAATGGCTGCATTAAAAAAAGAGAGAGACAATGCCAAAAAAAACTCGTTTAAATCTATATCATATATCTCAGCATTTATTTTTTTTAATTTTGACATGAAAGGTGGGGGGTGCTATGCATTCYACCAAGGAATAGGCCTTTAATGTCTTATTAAGAGTTTTATTAAAACATATGTTGAGGTAAAAATAATGTGAACTAAACACACTGATTTACAGGTTCTTCCCCAAATCAATCAGCTTTTATATTGATTTGACCTTCCTGCAAGATTCATTTACATTGTTTTTTTTTAACACGTGGACACACAGGAGTGTTGGAAAATGTACTTGTATTGGAGGAGCAGTCCCAGCCCCATGTGAGCCGTGCAGCTCCAACCGCTCGTGTTTATTAAAAGTGCAGACTTGTGCTCAGATCATTCCTGCTCTCGGGCTAAAAAGCAGCCCGAGTCAAAACACTGAGGGCAGAAACAGTGGAGTCTGCAGCGCACAGAGGCACGAACTGTCTGGCCCCTCGCTCCGGGCCATAATTAATTTGAGATTTATTTTTATTGGAGAGTTCCAGTCTCGCCTGGCCTTAACCAAACAAAACCAAATGCTATGGGCCTCGGATCCGCTCGGACTAGGAGGGAATATTTCTTTCTTTCCTTTTTTCTCTCTCTCTCTCTCTCTTTTTTTGTAATATATTGAGGCGTGCCACATGCAACATGTCCCCTGAAAAGAATGCACGCAAACTTTTAAAGCAGAACAAAGAGAGCATTTTCACAACAAATCCATGACAAAATAAGGATTTAGGCACTATATTTGAAATCAGTTTAAAAAAAATAGTCATTTGAGCTCATATTTTCTTCTTAAACATTCCTCCTGAGCGGTGCCACAAACGCTGTGGCTCCATGAAAGAAGCCCTTTTTATTCAGGCCTCGAAACATTAACAAGCCTCTCCTAGGAAAAAAAGGCACCTTGATTCTGCAGATAGAAGCAAACTGTACAATGGTTGTGTCTTTGTGACGGGAGAGYCCCCCCTTAAGCCAGCAGATTATTATGATGGATGGGACTAAATTGACGCATAAAACACAAACAGTGGAGTTTTATTATATATGTATAAAAAAGAGGGGCCAATAATTGGAGGGCAGAGGGGGAGAAGCTGCTGCAGGTTTCCCTGCTGCGCCACATGTGACGCGCTGTGTGCTTTATGTGGAAACCAGATGTGTGCTGTTTGCTTTATTTGCAATCTGTTGTGTGTTTGGYGTGTGCATGTGTGTGTGTAGGGTGAAGGGGGGGGGGCTTCATGACGTCAGGCATATTGAGACATAACAACTCTTTTTACTTTTTAAAATTGGATTAAAGACAAGAAAAACTGCAAATTAAAGACTAAAAAACTGCAGCGACTTCAACAGAAAGTAAAACCAAACGAAATGACACCACAGCAAGTTTAGAGTTTATCTACAAAGAGCGAGGTGGTTATAAGAAATTAATTCCAAGATTTATATATATACACAGGTACTGTATATCTGATTCTGGAGTCCCCACTTTTTAAACCTTTAATGGGTCCGTCTGCATATTGGGGAAACTTCAGCTGATTATTAAAGTCTCAGTAAAATAAGGGAAACGACCTGATCYGACAGACGGTGATGTCTTACCTTGACGTAAGACGACGTGTCAGGGACAGTTTGGAACATGTCTTCTGGACAGACAGGCCCAGGGATGCACAGCGTCCAGTGTGCCCTGAGAAAAGA